CTGTCCTCTACCTTACTTCTTGGAACCAACGCTCTACCGCTGCTGTGACGCGCGTTGTGAATTTGGTGACCCATACCTTTTAAGGATCCTTATGGTATCTTATCGGCTGTTATCACTTCCTGCCACCCAACAATGATGTTCCCATCCTGTCCTCTACCTTACTTCTTGGAACCAACGCTCTACCGCTGCTGTGACGCGCGTTGTGAATTTGGTGACCCATACCTTTTAAGGATCCTTATGGTATCTTATCGGCTGTTATCACTTCCTGCCCCCCACCAATGATGTTCCCGTCCTGTCCTCTACCTTACTTCTTGGAACCAACGCTCTACCGCTGCTGTGACGCCCATTATGTAGATGGTGATCCTTCCCTTCTAAGGCTCCTCATGTTATCTTATCAGCTGTTATCACTTCCTGCCACCCACCAATGATGTTCCCATCCTGTCCTCTACCTTACTTCTTGGAACCAACGCTCTACCGCTGCTGTGACGCGCGTTGTGAATTTGGTGACCCATACCTTCTAAGGATCCTTATGGTATCTTATCAGCCGCTATCACTTCCTGCCACCCACCAATGATGTTCCCATCCTGTCCTCTACCTTACTTCTTGGAACCAACGCTCTACCGCTGCTGTGACGCGCGTTATGTAGATGGTGATCCTTCCCTTCTAAGGCTCCTCATGTTATCTTATCAGCTGTCATCACGTCCTGCCCCCTACCAATAGTGTTCCTGCCCTACCTCCTACATCACCTATCAATTTGAGCGCCCTACTGCCTGTGTTTTGAAGGAAGTTATGAATTTCCGGTCAAACACACATACAGACACACAAACATACATTCACACACACCAACAGACAAACTTAGCGGATTATATATAGTAGGATTTCTCTCCATTTGATCAACACTGCTTACCACCACTCCACACACCGTCATAGTGTTGAAGTAGCAGGTATAATGTATGGTAGAGGTTTGGTCAAAGAATATTGACCAACTGTTCAAGTAAAACAAAAGCCCTATACTAGGCGGCTAATGAAATGTGTGGAAGAAGGTAAGCGCGGCGGAGCCGCGCACTCGACGAAGCTGTTGTATCTCAGAAGGAAGCGCGCCGGTGTCAGCCGGCGAAGCCGGCTGGTCAGGGATAAAGTCTTACCAGCCATAGACAACCAACTTTGTGGGAGACGGACACACAATCTACATCCACTCAGAATCTTAGCGGCCTTATTGGATTGTCAATTGCTGGCTTTATATGTAGTAATGGACTTGCTGGCATATCCTGCACAAGTCAATGCTCTTTAATGGCTACAGACTAGTCGCTGGCGATTTGTGTACCGGCTTTACCGGCCCCTGCCGGCCCTCAATTCGCGAAGGTGGGTAGGGAATCAACGGTTTATTCCGGGATCGCGTCTCTTCTTGCAGCCATCGCCACAGCACCACCTGCGCCCTTCAACGTGGCGATATGAAAACATAATTGACTCCGTAAATTCAGGGCACGCCATTGCGTTGTGATCATTTCCTGAAAAATACGACCCCCCCTATATCCATCTTCAAGTACGACCCCCCTCCGGGGGGGGGGGGTCGCAGTACCACGTACGTCCCAAGCACGTCCAGCACTCTGGCGCTGGTGTAGCATACTGACAATACGTACGAGGAAGGGACGATGATAGGAGCTACAATCACCGCCCACAAGGGCACCATGAATTTATAATTAAGCAAAAGGACTCACGACGTGACGATTAAAAACGATGAAAGTACATTCCCGGACTTTTCTGATCGTAGGAGCACATTTGCTTGCAATTGGGAAGCCCTATCTAGAAGTTACACCTTCCAAACACCTGCGTGAAAGCCCCATGCATGGCGCATTGCAGAGGTGATGCCAATTGGCGCCCAATGGCCTATTTCCTGATACCCTTTGCGAAAACATGTCTCTTAGAAGCATACCAAAGTCATCAAGCCAACCGGAGGTTTCATGGCCTCGGAGGGGTTGATTTTTCGGTGTCGTGGGGGTGATTACAAAATGATCACAACGGGGAATTTTTTCGAATAGTAGGTCTAGGAAGGAAATTAAAACCTTGCTGGAAAGTAGAAATCTTCAAGCTTCCGGCACAGTTCTTTTTTTACGAAAGGTCGTGTATGAAGCTTGCCATGGACGTCCAAAGCGTAGCGACTCGCGGTTCGCAAAAATGATCACAGATGGATCACAAAGAATGATCACAACGGGAAAATCTCTGGAATCGGAATGTTTTTGAAATCGCTCAATTCGGGTGACAAGAGCCAACCTAGCTCTACTCATTCCCACTTACCCCTTTCCGATAGCTTCACTTTCAACGAAGTTATGGGTGTTCAAATGAGGGGTACTTTTCACGTGTTTGGCTTGAAATTGGCTCCAGGCCGTAAAATAGCGCGCACCAATGAGCTTGTATGAGCGCGCTGACCGCGAACAGCCAAAATTCAAAAGTAATCCATAGTTCCGGTTCCCAAGGGGCCTTGCCTGGTGCAGTTTAGTTTTTTCTTATCTTATTTTTTTTCTTATTATTGTGAGTTATTTTCATTGTCTGTTTTTGTCGAGTTTGGTTTTGTTTTGTTGCGTTTGATTTTGTTGTGAGGAAATTGCTCAGGATTCAATTTCTACGCTTTCATAGGTAGCTTTTGCAATGGATTCTTTTCTAGATTTTGCGAATTAGTGGATTGGGATTTATCTAGACCAGATGAGGAGGGTTGGTGGGCGAAGTGTCTTGAGGTTTTTTGTGAGGAAGGTGGAAAAAGTTTCAGCAATATTTTTTTAATTCTTGACTTAGGAATAGTTCGATAGTGCCTAGTTCTATTTATTGTCATCTACATCGTCCCTTTTGAGCTTCTTTTCACTTGTACCGTGTATCACCGCTCTCTCCACTTCAACATGGGCCATGCGTTTACGACCCCCCCCCTCCATCGCGGGCAAATACGACCCCCCTGTTGTGATGATCACAAAGATGGCGTGCCCTGCGTAAATTACGCATTCATACTGACACTATGCCGCCCAGATATCATTATTGCCGCATACGGCGTTCCTCATGGAGGTTGTCTGATCATGACCAGGAGTCCTTACCTCCACCCAGCTCCTTGGATTCTCAACCTTATAGCGGCTCTTTGGGATTCTCATCTTATAGCTCTTCGTTCTTTAGCATCACACCGCCTTGGGTGGAGTTCAAAGCTCAAAGGCAACATCTGCGGACAACATGTCATCTCAACAACGTATTCCTGTTGTGCGCCTCATAGTGTCCAAAAAAACTCATTTGTGAAATCATTTATCAAAATTGAAAATCACCACGAGCCACACTTTCAATTCAATTTTTAGTTTCTGAAAAACAAAACATTTTATTCAATTCAATTTTTAGTTTCTGAAAAAACATTATGAAGTACTCAAATCTCTGTTATGCAAAGGCCTTAAAAGGAGAGCTGACATATGTGGATATCCCTCACCTGTGCTCAACACCGTGAAACCGGCGCGATATTTCAAAGTGTTTCAACTCAAAAAAGTACACTGCACAAAAAAGGTAAACCTACCATAAAAGTTGCAGCATCCAGATGTGATGCAGCAATATAGAACAAATTATTCTGTACAATGTATACCATCGCTGGCACACATACTTTCAAGGTATCGTACGGCTGTCGCACCACCTGATCCATCAGAACTCCAAGAAACCTACAGAAATGACTGGTTCGCATTTTCCATGCATTACTTATTTATAGATTCAACATAATAAGACCACAAGATACAGGCAAAAAACCAAGTCAGGGCCTTGATCACGACTATCACAATCATTTTTGGCGGTAGCGCCAATTTGGCGTTACCGTCTTTCTCACCAAATCGATGAAAACTCGTACAGGAGGGTTACTTCACATCCTCATCACGAATATGAAATCCTTTTTTTTAACTGACGCCCACTTCATTGCCAAACGGCGGGCGACCAGCCTGTTCTCAAAAACCAAAACCAATGAAAATTTGCATCATAGGGCTGATAGATACCCATATCACAGAAAAGACATTCATTTTTTGACACCAGCGCGACTTAGCGCTCTGCTAAGTTTAGGCATGGAAACAATTCTTCTGCCGCGGCTCAGCTGACAAGGAGTACCCTACGTTTTGGCGCAGCGCTTTTTTTGCCGGGCTAGCAGCTACCTTTAAAGAGTACCCTACGTCAAAAATATGAAATATCCTATTCGCGTATCAGGGACAGTCAAATTGAGCCTCCTATACAACTTTCCATCGATTTCGTGGGAAAGATGACGCCAGAGGGACTCAGCGTCAAAACGAACGTAATGTCTCGTGATAGGATGCTCCAAGCAATCCCCGCCTTACAAGTTGTTCATGACTCTGGCGTGATAAGTGGTTCGGATTGGTCAGTATAATAATCTTTTCGGGGCACTAGGAAATCTCTGTGGGCAAAGTTTCCGTGAAAAAAAAAATTGATTTCCTTAGAGTTTAGTAGTGAAATAGTGCCTGAAAGCCTTCTTCGGGAGGGGGGGGGAGAGGTAGATGAGCGTGGTCTTTAAATCGTGCCGGCCTTGCAGTTGAGGAGGTTCATCCGTGGCGGACCGCAAAAATGCCAGGAAAAAAGCGCAAATAAAGCGGTAAACAAAGGGCTCGTTGGATCGATAGGCCTGGTTATAGCGCATCCTTCTGCTAAAACACATTTAGCGAGGTCGTACTTCTTCTCTGGAGAGGGGGAGGGTCGGTCCATTTGGTCGTTGGGAGAGAGAAAGGGTCGTATGTGCCTTTGAGAGAAATTTGTCGCGTTGGTTCTCCAGTGTTGACTTTTTGCGTGACATTTCCTGTTTTTTTCATATGCACACCCCCCCCCCACTCGCTCGGCCGGAAAATTTTTGCGGAGAAAGAACTTGGAAAATGGGAGAAATTTTGTGGGTAATGTGCTTGGCGAACGGAGGGGCGAAGTGGGCTTCGTATGGCAGGCCCTCATTTTATATGGGCGGGAGCGAGTCTACATACACCACCACTCCTCACACACCACGCATGCTCTATCCTGCTGGGATAGGATCCCCTTGCTAAACAAATTTTGCACTTGTGCAATTTTTATTTTCTTGTGTCCATGTAAGTCAAAATCTTTTGCTTAAACCAAAACAAAAAATGTGTGAAAACAACCGAATCTGGGAAGAAAGGGAGGCACTTTTTAAGCGCCAAGTTCTCCTCATACCCAGAATTTTTGGCCCCTTTTTTTAGGCATTTCCAGAAGCGCGCAGTGGGAAATGAAGAAGACCCATGTGGTTCTTCCATGGACCTTTACAACACTCAACAAACAGTTTTGTAAATCGATTTCGTAAATCTAATGACCCTACTTGCTAGTGTTACACATCACATCGAAAACGTTGCACTTCAATAAAAAACTAGTTTGAAAATGATGCGATGTCAACATCGAAAATACCTTGAAGGTGTCTCCTCCTTGAGAATGATAGCAAGACAAACAACACATTTCATAACTTCCGTGAAAAATACAGCCACTGTCGATAAGAACATATGTTCAACCTCTCGAGCACGAGAGTACCTTGAAACAGAGTATGAGCATATCAGTTCTTTTTGGAGCCATATGATCACAATGTTCATCATCACTGATGTTCCGTGCTCAGCCGTTTCTTAGCGTCGGCTTTCACAGCTTCACTCTATTTCCGGCACATTAAGTCCCACATTGTGTTCCCGCAAAATGGGTTAATTGTGTGAAGGTGAAGTGTGGGTAAGGACATAGTGATCATTAAGATCGTGACATAGGAACGTCCCAGATGCCGTCGCGCGCGCGTCATACTTACTACAAGACACAGCGAAGATGAGCAGTCACGCTAGCATAACCACGGCGACTGTTTTGGCAAACGCTGGATATGCGGCACATACCAAAAGAGCTTATCAACGTCAACCATATCTTCCATCACTTTTCGACTTAGCCGCATTTTCCTAACCAGGGATCCTGCCAACTATTATAGGTTGTTCGGAAAGAAATGCGCGTTTGAGTCTAAAAAACTTTTTATTATAAAAACGAAAGTAAACAAGATCAATTCAAAAGATAATCTCCATTACTATCAATGACTTGCTGCCAACGTTTATGAAGATGGATTGCTCTTTCGAAGAACTCGGCCGGATGCGACTCGAAGTAGTTGGACTTCTTCGCGGTTTGTGAACTTTCTCTCGGCCATCGACCGGAACAGACGGTAATCGGATGGTGCCAGGTCTGAGCTGTATGGCGAATGAGGCAGGACTCCCTAGCCCTATTCCTCAATTTTAAAGTGATTTTCACTACATGTGGACGAGTCGTTCGGGAGGAATTTTGTCGACGTCGTTTCGACACCTTGACGACGCAGTGCTTGATCCACGCGGTTCAATTGATCTTTGTAGATGTCCGCCGTAACTGTTTGACCCGAATCCAGAACTTCAAAGTATACCAAACTTTGTTGCTCCACCAAACACAGAGCATCACCTTTTTGCCGGGTATATCCGGTTTCGGAGTCGGTTTTGGAGTGTCACCGGCGTCTAACCACTGTCTTTTTCGCGTTACGTTGCCGAGCAGATCCATGTCTCGTCTGATGTAACAATAGAGACGAAGAAACCGCTGTTCTTAGAGCGACGAAGAAGAATTCCGGCCATTGCCACTCGTGTTGCCCTGTTTGCGTCATAGCGGAAACTGCAACCTGGGTTTCACTAGCAACTTATGAGCAGCAGAAAATTTGTAATGGTGCAGTAGGGTGAAGGCTTTGGTGGTGAGCTGTGAAGCATAAGCGAGGAATCGCATACGTCGAATCGAGTCGTGGTGGTTCAGTGGTAAGGTTCGACGTTCGACGACTCGATTCGACGTATGCGATTTCCTCTTATGCTTCACAGCTCACCACCAAGCCTCCACCCTGCTGCACCATTACAAACTTTACCTGCTCATAAGTTGCTTGTGAAATGCAGGTTGCAGTTTTGCAGTTTTATCTATATTTGACCTTATAGACTCTACCGATCTAGCCAGGTCTCCATTCAAAGTTCCATGGTAATACGACGGACTTCCCTGGTAAGGGAAACAAAAAAAATCACTCTTTAGTGACAAGTATGTATTTTACCGAATCAATAGCGTGTGAATACTATTTTGAAGAGTCAACCATATGAGAATCGCCACACGCATTCTACTCGACGACTGCGCTTTCTCGTAAGACACCGTGAGTCGAGTGGCCTGAAAATACTTCTCAAAGGCACTGATCAAGAATATTTTGCAGCAAACCGGTCTGAAATTGGCATTGGAGTTCTCAGCTGCTATCAAAAAACATTTCACGTATACAAACAGGTTACATGGGATGAAATGTAGCAAAAATTACTACCAAAGCATCCAGCGGATCGATCATTCCACAGGGATCAGATTTTAGGCAAGATTGAGAGTAATCTTTCAAATTACCGTATATTTTTTGAACTTGTGTCATTATGATGACTGCTGTTCAATGTCCCACTTCACTTATAGAAATGCCTGAAATTCGCAAAAGAATCCCTTTTTCGGAAGCTCATGCATGAGCTCCTAGCAAATGGACCCTTCGGTCAATGGAAAATAAGGTGGTCAAGCGCTGCGTGACGTCTAGTTCTGAAAACAAGACAAGCTGAATTTGAACACCCTCCCTTTCAAAAATATATTCGCTGACATTTCGATGGGAAGTCCTATAGCAACATACGAGCCTTTATGCTTTCAACGATCATAGTTTGACGAGCACGATTTTTTTTTTCCAAAACAGAAATTAGGTTTGAGAGATGGGAGCGCTTTTATTTCTAATGAATGCACTCTTTATTCAGAGCGCTCCTCAGCTTTCACGAAGCATATTTCCACAGGAGATTTATTAGGCGAGACTCCCGAGCAACTAAAAAAACCTGATTCGTCAAGCAACATTGCCAGTAGATCCGCTCAAAAACTTAAGCATGTGAACATGCTTCATGCATGTCCCCTACAAAGGCTAATGAGAAACGTCCTGTTCGACGTCGGCTAGTATTATCTTTCTGAGAGCCATGAACTCAGCTCCTACCCACAGGTGGTAGGAGGACGTAGCTCTTTAATCCAGTCCCCCAGCTAATTCACAAAAACTCATACTTATTCCCTCATACTCATGGACTTTTCAATATTTCCGGACAAATTATTTATCCTTTTGCGTTTATTTTCCAAATACTGACGTATCCTCCACCGGTATCCCCGACATACTGTCAACGCCGGGCGATTTGCAGGTTCCCTTCCTTGTAGAAGCCCAGGGGACTCGCTATCAACAGAACTGAAAAAACCGCTGAAAGTCCAGCTTCATGTACCTCAGCCTCCTGAACCCCATGAAGATTAAACTACAGAGGTCGAGAAAAGGCGCAAGGTTACGGGTTATGGCAACGCAGCCTTCCTTAATATCGAGTTCAGGCTATGTGGATGAAACCCAGAACGCCTCCAAGGTTCTTCTGCAGCAATCTAGGTTCTATAGCCGAAATCGTCACTCATATGTGAACTGGTCGTGACATGGCACTGAACCTTCAAGCAGTATTCTTCAAAAGATGAGAAAAGGAGCAAAACGGATGATAAATGGACGGGCAAATGTGGAGCTATAGGTGGATCCGGTAATAACCGTTTGGTAGAGACTGCGCAGGATTATGCATATGGTCATGCAGAAAGACACTTTGACTAGACTACACTTTGTACCTCATCTCAGCTTAGTTGCCATTCGATGCAGTTGTTCGTGGTAGAAGCAGCTACCGATGGACAACTCCCAATTCCACCAGCAACGCAACATATTCTTCTTACTCCGGACGAAGCACTGGGTCTCCCTTCTCTCCCGCTTTGGGCCAATGTCCTTTGCGCAAGAAGTTGACGTCAGAGACCCTTTCATGTCACCGCATAGTCCAACCAGTCGGATCCATAATGGGAAAAGAGATACTTGTGCCATTGCCTTCCAGCCAGTGTACAGCATCGTGATGTGTGAGGTGGTGGTGTAGGTACGACTCCCCTACCTAAATGAGGGTCTCGGTACGACCCCTCCCTCTCCCTTCCCCAGCACCTACCCACCAATTCACCACCACATTTTCCAGTTTTCACCCGAAAATTTTCCGTCGAGCCAGGGGGGGAGGATATATAGTGCACATGAGACAGGGGAAATCAAAAATCAAGTCAAAAAGTCAACAACCGGGAAACCAACGCGACAAATTTCTCTCAAAGGCACATACGACCCCCTCCCCCTCTCTCCCAACGACCAAATACGACCCCCCCTCCCCAGAGAAAAAGTACGACCCCCCTGCCCTTATGTGTTCCACACAACGATGCTATACCCTGCTTCCAGCACTCATATCTATCGTGGTAAGCCGGTTAGCTGATATCAGCAGTGAACCGCGAGACTGAAAGCTTTCACATGTTGGAAATCAGATAGCTGCATATTTAGGCCTTTATCCAAGTAAAGTGAGTGGCCAGGGTGTGTAGAGGTATAATGCCGCCCACTGCAGCCAGGGACAACTGTGGCAGAACTTTAGATGAGTTTAGATCAATAATCTACAGTATCGAGGTAGTTAGTCACTGGATGACATTCCCAGATCGCAACTCGAAAAAGTCCCAAGAGGGCCCAGAGCTCAGCATGGGGCATAAAAAGCGCCTCTGCGCAGTTATATTTATATTACACATCTTCTCCATTGTGATTTTTTTCCTAGCTCTCCTAGCTCATTGTTCTCTACAGCTAGAGTTTCACTATACAACCCTTATTGATGAGGCCATTAGAGCTCACTGACCCTGCGCTTACGAGCCCTCACCTTACGAGGGTCGATACACCCCTTTTCTAATTTCCCAGGTGATATGCTCCGGAATGAACAGCACCAATTGTTAAGAATACCGGACGACAAAGAAAGGTTTCGAAAGTAAACTTTATGCCCGAATCAGATTAAAAGGGAGCGAAAAACAAGCGATGCTCAATAAAACGCGATTTTGAGAGGTGCTCGGAGCTTTCCACTGAAGGGACTAGTACCGAAATCTCATATAATACAAGAAATAACCAACTGCCTTGAGCTGTAACACAGCTGCGTCGGAAGGGACATTTCTCTTCTGGTTCCGGTTTTTGACTAATTCTAGGCTCATCAAACGTCTGTGGAAAACCCCGCCAGGTATTCCTCAGACTAAAGTACGAGGAACCATTATAGAAGCAGGAAACTCAGAGAAAAATCTATGCGGGAACCCTTCATTGGTACGAGTCGACAGAAACCGATTACATAGTCAGAAGCCATAGTTATTATTAGGGTGTCCGGAAAGTTTTGAGAAATTTCAACCAGCTCATTTAACACCTATCGACAACAATGAGAGATAGGGGTTCATACTTATAATAGACATTGTCCATCCCAGTTCCCTTAACTTTTCGGCGGGATTACTTTGCGTGGGAGTTGGAATGAAGTGAGTACCGAACATGCGGAGGCGTACGCAATATCCAAGCTTAACTTCCACGTAAGAGACCGATTGATCTCCTGCTGCAGATAGTTTTGAAGCGCGTTTTATCCAGCATCGGTGACGGTTCCTCATTCCCGATTTGACCGTCAGAGAAGCCAGAACGGTGAAGATGAAGTAGAAGGCGTTGGGAGTCGTGTGCGTTCGTACA